GTGGCTGAGGGACCAGCGTGTCCCAGGTTTGGGGGTTTGCACTTGGGATGCTCAGTCTTCCCCCAAGCTATGGGGTGGGAGAGGGTCTGTTCTTCCTTCCCGGGAAGTCCCCCCAAGGTGCTGGTGCTGCCCGCATCTCCCCAGAGAGCTGCCTGGGAAGTGGCCAAGACCCTTGGAGACGTGGTGAACCCCTTGGAGATGTGGTCAACACCTTTGGAGATGTGCTGAACCCCTCTGAGATGTGCTGAACTCCTTCAAAGTGTGCTGAAGCCCTTGGAGATGTGCTGAACCCCATCAAGACATGCTGAGCTGCTTCAAGATGTGCTGGACCCCTTTGGAAACATCCTGAACCCCTCTGAGATGTACTGAACCCCTTGGAGACATCCTGAACCCCTTCAAGATGTCCTGAATCCCTTTGGGGGCATCCTGAACCCCTTCAGGATGAGCTAAACCCCTTGGAGATGTTCTTAACCCTTGGAAGACATGCTGAGCTCCTTCAAGACATGATGAACCCCTTCAAGATGTCCTGAATCCCTTTGGGGGCATCCTGAACCACTTCAGGCTGAGCTAAACCCCTTGGAGATGTTCTTAACCCTTGGAAGACATGCTGAGCTCCTTCAAGACATGCTGAACCCCTTCGAGATGTGCTGCAGAGCCACCCTAAAAACTATTTTGGAGACTGAGGGCACTAATGGTCATTAACGACCCTGACCATCCCCACCTGGGACACCCACCACCTCCTGGCCACAGCCCAGGGACTCTATTTAAGCCCAGCCCTTGGGATTTTGGTTCTTCTGCAGAACATCTTGGAGGAACATCCATGAGTGGACATGGATCCTGCTGATCCGGTCCATCGGCTGCCATCCTGGCTTGCCCCTCGCTCGAGTCGTTGGGATGTGGTCGTGGCAGGTGGTGTACCTTGGAATCTCGGGGCGGGGGGTAATTTAATTTCTTCTCCTTGGGGTTCACCAGCAGATGTGTGGAGCAGCCCTAGGGACATGCTGAGACCCAACCCTCCCACGCAGTCCAAGTGGAATGGCCTTTTGGGCTTAAAAAAGTGGTTTTGGTGCCACCATGCTCGTGGCTGTCCCAATTGACCACAACCAAAGGGTTTGGCTGGTGAAGGCTCAGCACTTCCCCTCCTCCTTTTTTTTTTTTTTTTAACTGCATTCATGGGAATCTTGCCCTGGGAAAAAAAAAAATTAAAAAAATGCTCATTTTTAAATGCAGGATGAATTGCAACTGGGCTTCAAATCGGGGCGACCCAACTGGAAACCCAACCGAAGAGCTGAAGGAGAAAAAAAAAAAAAAAATCCTTGGAAAATTGGATCTTGACATGGTTGGAAGCCCCCCAAAGCCAATGGAAGAGGAACGACCAGATTTCAGCCCGCCAAGGGAAAGGACAGCAGCACTGCCAGGGTAGCTAGGCTCTAATTTATTACTACTCATGGAAAGAAAGCAACTTCAAAAAAAAAAAAAAAAAAAGGGAAAA